CAATTGACAGCACACAGACATCACAGAGTATAGGTTGTAATCACAGCACACAGCAGTCAGGAAGTACATATTCACCTATTTATATTTTGCCTTTTTTTCCTTCCAAAGAACTCAAGGTGACTTCCATAATTCTCCTCTTCCTCTCAATCTTACAACAAATCTCTTCACAATGACCACCCTGTGAGCTTGGCCTGACATGAGTGAGCTCCATGTCTGAGTGGGGATTAGAACCCCGAGTCCCAGCTCCAGTCTTAACCACTACATCACACTAGCACTCTTATGGGTCAGCCCTATGCCTGTACCAGCAGTCATCAATGGTGGAAAAGGAAGCATAACCTGAACTGTTTTAAAATGTTATCAAACTTGAACAGGCTCTGGCATTGCCTTTAAACAGCACAGTATTGAATCACGGCCTGCACATGATTTAACTTGCCATTAAACTTAATCTGGTCTTACCATTTAAACTGGTCTTACAAAAGAGGAAAAACTACCATCATAATGCACTTTCTGTACCACAGACTCAAAGCCAATGGCATTAAATTCATGTGAGAGAGGAGGGAGGTAAGCATGAGTTCTACTGCTCTTACTCTAATCCAGCCTTTTTTCAAGCTGGCAACCTCCAGTTGCTTTGCTCAGGAATCCTGACCACTGGCTATGCTGGCTCAAGCTGATGCTAAAGTGATCATGTTTTGAACTTCATTTCGCATCACAGGTCTTGAGGCTGTGGTACAGAAAGATCAATAGCTAATAGGAAGGCTTCTAATTAGTTAGCAAGGTTAACTGTTGGCTGCTTCACAAATTAATAACCTATAGTGCCCAGGTTCAAATGTGATGAGGCAATCCCATCCTCCCAGTCATACCATGAATATTCAAAAAGGCAACAAAGCACGCCCAGCAAGCATCACAGCAAATTTGGGGTTAATTAACCTACAGTTTACCACTATTATTTAGTAACAGACCCTGAGTTTCAGTTACAAGCGCCACATGGACGAAGAAAAAGTGATATTTACAAGGCAACAATGTGCCAGTAAACATTTTTAGCAGCCTGCCTGTCCACATATACCTATGCAATTCATTTCTCACACATCCACGGCCAGAAAGAATAAAGCGGCTCTTCCAGGTCATACAAACTGTCTTGCCTTTCACCTGTGCTACTGTGATGCGTGGAACATTCTGTGCTGAGGGGGAAGGATCATTCATAGTGCTGACAAAGCAGCCAACTTTGACATGCTGTGATCTAGCAGACTGGTGGAAGGCCCAAACCTGAATTATTTATTCAGTAAACCAGGATATCAAAAAGAGTGTTTCACAGAGACAGTTTTGACTACTGGATGGTATAAAAATGAAATAAATAAACATGCAAGACAAACATTTCTCAGGTGTGACCTTCTTTCTTTGCCCCTCCCATAATGTTTTGATCAGGCTATGAGGCCCTCTTACACCTGCTTTAACTACATCTCTATAAAGGTGTCATTCCTCATGACAACTGTCAGAGCTCACATAGGCAAGCAGAAGCACCTCATGAAACGTATATGGTTGGAAGGCAATACTTAGGACTGCAAGTGGAGATCAAATGTGAGAACGCTTCCACATTTAAGGTAGTGCCTACACATTTAAAACTGTCATATCAGAGAAGTTTCAGGCAAGACTTCCCCGGGCATGTTCATACTGAAGGAGTATGGCATAATTTAAGTGGAAGAACATTCTAATATTAGACTGCATCTGCAATCCGAAATGATGTAGTCCAGGACTAAACAGCTTCTGGTAAGCTTCAGACATTATGGCATAGAAATCACAGCATCCACCATCACTGGCTGTGCTAACTACAGCTACTGGGAGATTTGTCCCTCCAGATGTTTTGGTTTAAAAGTTGCCCACCTGTGGTATATGCCAACAACAGATTAATCATTTGGTACTTCTATTTTAACTCTCAGCATCAGGTGTTTAAAGGGAAATGGGGGTGAGGTCAACTATTTTTGCTTATCCAAGAATTTCTATTTTTGAAAACCCCAAACTTGTTCTGCCGCTATCATTTCCTTTCAGTTTCTCTTGGAGAAGGGTCAGACCAAGCCAGGTAAGTTTCCTGTTCCTCCATTACCTACTTTGGAATGCTCAAACAACTAGTCTTAATATACAAAGATTTGTTTTAAGAACATCTGAGGACCTCATAATCACTTTAGCAACCTTTTGCTTAGAACACCCCAAAAGAATCCCATAATGCTTTAGGGCTAGGCCAGCTGAAAAAGGAACAAAGGAGAAAGGAACAGGCTAAAGCAGGGGTCCTCAAACTTTTTCACCAAGGGGCCAGTTCAAAGGTGCCGGTGCTGGGCACAGGCCAGAAAGGTGGTGCCAGCAGTGTGCGCGGACCAGTGTGGAGGCAGGAGTGGGGAGGCGCATGCAGGCATGCGCACTTAGGTGGGGGCTAGGCGTTCAGCAAGGCGGGGGCGGGCATGTGCGGGGAGGGGCGGGGAGGGGGGCGCAAGAGGCAGAGGCTTGCTTGCTTGGAGATTGTTTTCTCTGAGTGAGCAAACCGCTATCTCCCCATGGGTGAGGTGGGCAGCAGGTCCAAATGGGCATGGCGGACCGGATCCAGCCCCCAGGCCGTAGTTTGAGGACCCATGGGCTAAAGGAACATGAGGTGCTTGCTGCATTTGAACACTCTACCCCTAGAGGACTGATATCAATGGCTCTGTGGGAAAGGAGGAATGAAGGAGACAGGATCTGGTCTAGAGAACATCAGGGTCCGCTCCATTTGGATTGTCCTCCCACTAGATAAGGGACCATTCCACCAGCCCTACTAAAAATCTTTTTGTTTCCTTTTCCCTCACATTCCCTTTTTCCTTGTGTATCACATCTTTTAAATTATCTTTATATTTTTAAGCCTGTGGGCAGGGACTGACATTGTCAGCTTCCCTGGTGGATTGTATGGTGACCCAGGAGCCTTTATTTGGGCTGAATGGGATAAAAATGCTATTATTAATAATAACTGAATCATCGTTGAACAGCTCTTTGAATTATGCTTTTGTAGCTTATGTTTGCTATTTCACAAACTATCAATTATTTCTGAATATCCCTGGTTCATTAATGTTCCATAAAGCCCACCTCTTCAGAGGGGCCATTATTTTGGATTTTTTAAAAATCCTTGCAAAATAACTGTAAAAAAAATCCTAGTTCACCTATTTTGCTAGCTCTCCTGCCTACACATTTCAGTGTTAATAATGTGTGGCAGGAAATAAAACAAGAACCAAAATAAGAACTTCCTTGCCGAGGCAATTGGAAGCAACTCATACTTGTCATGGGTGACCCAGCTGAGTGGCTGTTTAGAACCCTTTTAACCTATCATTCTCACCTTCATCCTGCATATTATGCCGTTAACCTTACCCACTGGCTCTAGTAAGTAACCTATCCCTAAATCTCCTTACAACTTAGTGAGAATTGTTGATAGCATGATCTGGCATAATACCAGGTCATCATGACTTTCTTTTGTTCCAAACCACACAAGGTTTCACTCTGAACCTTCTCTCCACCCCTTTCCACATGTAATACAACACAACCTGATCTGAATTCTCTCTCCAACATTAAGTGCTTCCTTTCATTTGGTGTGACAGAATACCAAGGTAAGGCACTATGACAGGATTCAGATTCAGTCCCTAGCTGTAGAACTGCCCTCCCCTGAAGAATTTCAAACCTCAATATACCTTGCAAGTGAAGGAAAATCTCTGTTTAAACAAGTTGTCATGGATGAGTAAAGGGTGTGCGTGTAACAGCTTATGGAGAGGAGATGTAACTATAGTTTAATATAGCTTTTAATTCTCATTACCATGAGCTTTGAAGGATTCATGAATCAAAAAACTAAATGAAGTTTCTTGTTTATCAAGTCATTCTTTAATCCAGCACCACCCTTTAACAAGCAACTCTGTCTGAATTTGATACTGGTCCTCTGTAGTTTCATAAGTCTGGGTAAGCTACACAAGTGCTACCAAGACATAAGCCAGAGAGCATTTCTTCAAAACGAGAAAAGCTTACTGGCCTAAAACTGGAAAGGGCTGTCTAGTTCTTTTGTGCGATGGTTTAACCAGACTTTACTACTGTCAGATACTATATAAGAAAAGAGGGTCTTGGGTAAACAGAGGTACTGTGGTTCAGTGGTAGTGTACCAGATTTGGATCACTCCCAGGCATCTCTAGGTAGGGCAGAAAAAGCCTGCTTGAAACCCTAGAAAACTACTCCCAATGAGTGTCAACAAAACTGGCAGGTGGATCAATGGTCCGACTTAGTATAAGGCCACTTCCTATATTTCCATGTCTTCAACAGCTGCAGAGTTCAGCAGCTGCAGTCTTGCCCATCACTGAAGTACTGTTACAGGTGAAACCACACCTGCTGAACATTCTCCTTCATTTAAGTCCATCACACAATATAGCAACCACATCACATACTTAATACAGCAACCCAACTTATATTTTCTCTCAGACTATGTCTGATTGGTGGTAAAGAAAATTACAACACAGTTAATAAGCCTTTCTTTCTCTCCACCTGTTTTTCAGACTAACCCATTCACCATTAAAAGTTATTTCAATAAAGTGTCACATACTGTACCAGATCACTGATTTGAAAAGCAAAGTGAAGAAAGTGCTGCTGCTTAGCTTTCTCATCCATCCCAGCTTAAAGGCTCTAAGTTTTAATCCATAAATTCAAAGGGAAGTATACCTAACCCAAACATTACTAATCCTTACAAAAAACTACAAAACTTGTAACAACTGTACAAATGAGGGAAGCAAAGGAAGAGTTTCTTGACCAAAGGCTGCCACTCTTTTACTCTCTCCAGATGTCAACAGCAATTTTATACCAACACTTTCCAGCAACTAAATGGTACAGATCTCAGTCAAGGTTTAGCACCACTTCAGCCCCCAATTCTGTTATTAACATAATAAACACAAGCTTACTTCTCCTACCTACTTTCCTCACTTACCAGAAAGGGAGTCAGGATGAGGGACTCTTACCTGTTGGCCTCAGTAAGTTACTTCTGCCACTTTGTTCTCTATCAGGATAAACAGCAGTATGCCAGTAACCCAGGTAGATGGGGATAATAACAATCACATGGATAATTTCCCTCCCCACTCCACCACCATTGCTAGGTCCTGGCCTCTTCTTCGTTTCCCCTTGTGAAAAGCAGCAACAGGACTCACAGCTCACTATTTGGCAGCATGTCTCCCTCTTGCAATTCTTTCCCCCTTACGTAGCTGTAGAGGATCATTATTCCGCAAGGCCCCTGCAGCAACATCATGCGCATGCGCAACAGGATGAGGCGGGAGGACGGGAAACTAGGAAGCTAGAGGATGTGACTGTTCTTCTTTAATTCCCTTTTGCGCAGGCGCAAAGCCTCAGCACGCCACAAAACTTTTTTCATCGCATGCGTGCCCTGCACTTCACCTGCGCCTTCTTCTCCCAACAGCGGTTCCATCCGAAGCGCCTGCGCAGTCTCCGCAAACCTTTGAATGAAAGCGCACGCGCCATAATCCCGACGGCCGAAACCTCACCGCCGCGCATGCGCAGCTTTTATCCGAGGGATCTTCCCATCTGCCCCGCCCCTTCTCCCTGCGTCAGGCCCTTCAGCTCGTTATTTTGCAACCAGTCGCCCACTGGCGTTATGTATTCCTCCCTCCTTGTCCCTACAATATGGTGAATTATAGCCATCGCCCATTCCACCTCACCTGCTAGTGATAAGCGGTGGCTGCGGCCGTCCCCTTGTGGACTCCTCATAGCGCCCTGACCTGACACATCCGGGACTCTCGGGTGACGTTACCACGACGCTCCGATCATGGGGAGGGAGAGGGCGAGCAAGCGCCCACAGGCGGCATTGCGCATGTGCGGTAAGGGACTTACCCCGGAAAAGTGGCGGGGAAAACCCGCCAAGCGGTTACTTGGGATTAAAAGGAAAAGGACGGCAGCAGGACGTGGTCGGCCTCGCGTGTGCGGTGCGTAGAGTTGCTGCGGGGAGGGGGCTGACCGCTCTTCATGGTGGGCGGGAAAGACTTTCCTCAGGAGTCTTTAATCCCTGGTTCGGGACTTGGATATATCATTCACGACCTCAATAAAAGCCTCACACACTACTGTTATAAACAACGCAAAGTGTACCAACTCTGTTTGACAAAAGCACCAAGTCTGTTTCCTTTCGGTAAAAAGGACTACCATAGTTATTTTTAAAAAATTGTGATCCATGAGAAATAACAGCAAAATCCACAGTTGAACAAGACCTATTCTAGAGCCAACCTGATAAAGTGCCTTAAGACTCCTTGTCTAAAACTGTCTAAAGGTGCAATCCTATGCATATTTAGACAAGATAACAACCGACAAATCACAGTGGGTTTGGCTGGGGAACACTGGGAACTGGAGGACTTGGTTACCTTAACTGGAGTTTGTGATTCTTCCCGTGGTTGTGATCATTCATTCTAGAGACTTTTAGTATTGGGCGGCATATGAAAATTATATATAAATAAATAATAGCTCACAATAAGGTTCATAAAATATACCTTTTGTAGTCAAAGTTATTCAGGGTTGGGCTGGGTTCAAGGCAAGCAGGTGAGGAGGAGGAGAAGGCTCTTAGAATATTTTCATCACAGAGAAGAGACAAAATTTGAGCAGAAGCAGCTTCTCAACTAAGGGTGCACAAATGACAGGCTCTGATATTCTTTCTATGGAGAAGGCAGCTGCATCCTCTTTTAGAAGCTGCAATGGGATTCTGCATGCAGTCCTATTCAGCATCCTTCATCTTTGCTGTTCATGAAATCTCAGATACAGTATTAGCTCCATTGCTAAGGATTAGAAACCTTTGCCCAAAGCTGTAAAAACCATTCATTTTGAGTGCCCTGTGGGGTAAGGGCAGTGCGAGCACGGGGGGGGGGGGGGTCAGAAACAGGTAAAGTACATGTTAAAATGTTTCTTGATTTTGTTTCTGAATATTTTATGATATGAGGTTTTGCTTTATTTTATACAAAACATTTTATATCATTAGAGACATCTAATGCCTCTACAGTAAGGCAGAATATAACTTGGCTCAACAAATATTAAAATAATAAAACTAAAAATTTCATTATTTGACATGAAATAAAAAGAGCAGGAAACTGTGAATAGACATTGTATTGTTTACACCTTCTTCTAAAATGAGGTATCCAGACTGGTGCCAGTCTAATTTATTTACAGTTCAATCCTATCCATCTTTAGACAGAAAAATGTGTACACTGGCAGGAGCATGCTGAGAGTTATAGGCCTTTTAAATTTTCATTTATTTATTCATTTCTATACTGCCCCACAGCCAGCGCTCTCTATGCAGTTTACCACAATCCATGAAACAGACAATACAAACACAATAAAATATCAGAAATCAGAAAAAAATGTTAAAAGGATTAAAATACCTAAATAGATAAAAACAAAGAATGACTCTGCAAAACATCTGGGATGGGTAATCCCCCTCAAGAACTGGGTGACCAAGTAAGTCTTTAAAAGCCTTGAAAAAGAAGGCTGTCTTGGAAGGCTCTGGAGGTTAAACATAATATTCAAATACTATGCTTCTAAGGCATCAGTTTTCTTCATCACAGCTTTCTTCGCTGAGCGACTTTCACACTGATACATAGTGATTGGGAATGCAATAGTTTGGATGATCTTGACTTTGGTCTCCAATAACACATCCTTGCACTGGATTATCTTTTCTAGTTCATTGCTTACTTCCAAATCTCAGTCTTCTAATTTTTTGGCTGCAGCTTCCATTTGAATTGATGACTGATCCAGGGTATGCAAAATCTTTCACAATTTCAGTTTCTTCATTGTTGACATTAAAGTTGTCCAGTTCTTCTGTAGATTTTTTTTAATGTTCAGCTACAGTCCTATTTTTGCACCTTCTTTACTTTCATCATAATTAATTGCTTATTTTTTCTAGCAATACAGTATCCTCTGTATTTCTTAAATTATTTATGTATCTTGTACCAATGTTCATTCCCCTTTCTGATCTAATTTAGCTTTCCTTATGATATGTGCTGTGTACAAATTGAACAGATCTGGGGATAAAATATACCTTTGTCTGATGTCTTTGTCTATAGAAAACCATTCTGTTTTTCCATATTCTGTCCTAACAGAAGTTTCTTATCCATGATATAGGTTACACATCAAGGGAATAAAGTGCTGAGGCACACTCATTTCTTCAGAACCATCCATAGCTTCTCATGACCCACACAAAGGCTTCGCTGTAGTTCATAAAACATACACAGATCTTCTGAAATTCTTTTCTGTACTGCTCTAGTCAATGTATACTTGCAATATGATTTCAAGTGCCTCTTTCTTCTTGGAACTCAGCTTGAATGTCAGGCATTTCTCACTCCATATAGGTAAATTTCTTTGTTGCAACGCATTACTGAAATTCACCTATAGCTCCTGAACTCTTTTGCATCTTCTTTCTTGGGGACTGGATTGTATATTGAATGTATCCAATCTGTGGTCCATAGTTTTGTTTTCCATATTAGTTGGCACATTCTTGTTTGTGTTTGGGCTGATTAATCGCTGCAGCTAGGAATTGTTTTCTTGGTACCCCACCTACTCCAGGGGCTTTATTCTTTCCAAGTACATTCAGAACAGCTTTCACTTTACTTTCTAATATTTCAGGTTCTTCTTCATAAAATTCCTCCTTGGGTAATTCTGTTATCCTTTTGTTTCATTTATATAGTTCTTTCCCATAAAAGAATCACCACATATTCTGCATAGTGCTTCCACTTGTTTTTATTTTATCTTGGCCAGATAGCATGTTTCCCTGTGGTCTTTCAGCATTCCTAATCTAGGGTTAAATTTCCATTTGATATCTTGGCTCATCTGAAAGAGGTATCTTGTTTTTCCTCTTTCATTGTTCTATTTCTTTTTACTGGCCATTGGAATACTTATTTTTGTCTCTCTGTGATAGTTACTGGAAAGTTGCATTTAGGAGTCTGACCCTGTTTCTGTCACCTTTTGCTTCTCACATGAACTTAGCCATTGTGAGTATTTCTTCCATCATTCATCTAGGCTTCCCCCCTTTTGTTACAGTTTTGCATTCTTCTCTATCTCTGGTTTCTGTCAACAGTTCTTCTGCTTTATAATAAGTCGAGTTCGATATTACAAAACTTTTCTGTATGTGTACTTTAGATTCTTCAGAAATGTTTATGTTGCATTTTGTTGTTTAAGGTGATAACATTAGTGTTTAAAGCCCTAAACGGCTTGGGGCCAGGGTATCAAAAAGAACACCTCTTTCCTGATGACCCCTTAAATCTGCATCTGAGGCCCTTCTGAGGGAGCCCCCTCCTCAGGAGACAAGGAGGGTAGCAACAAGAAGGGCCTTTCTGGGAATGGCACCTTGACTTTGGAATGTGCTCCCTAGAGAGAGTCACCTGGTGCCTTCTTTATACTCCTTTCAGCACTAGACAAATGCCTTTTTATTTTACTGGAATTTTAATTGTTAGTCTATTTTAATGGTATTTTAATAGAATGTAGTATGCCTTTTATGAAATTATTAGTTCTGTTAAGATGAGGTAGGGCTCACTTTTATTGTTCTATTATTTGATTTCTGTGTTTTTATATTGTTTTTATATGGTCTTATTGTTGTAACTCCCTCAGGGAATCATGTGGCTAATGGACTGGGCTAGAAATAAATAAATATATATATAATTTTGGCACTGTGCTTCTGTTAATGATTTTTTCAGCTTTTTTGCTATTAAAAGTTCAATGACACTACCACAATCTGCTTCTGGTCTTGTTCTGGCAGCAAGAATACAGCTTCTTCCTACTTCTGTTTATGTAGTCTATTTGATTTCTGTAATAGCTGTCTGGTGATATACATGTATACAGTTGTCTGGTTGGTTGCCTGAAATACGTATTTGCAATAAACAGATGGTTGGCTTCACAGAACTCTATAAGTTATTCTTCTGTTTCATTTCTGACCCCTAGTCCAATTTCTCCCACAACATTTGATTCTGTCTTGTCTCCTACTGTTGTGTTCCATGATTATCAGGAAGTCTTGTTTTGGTATGTTATCAATTTTCTCTTGGATACTTGCATATTTTTTCAATTTCTTCTTCAGCATCTGTTGCTGGAGCAAAGACTTGGATGATAGTTATGTTGATATGCTGACTTTCCATTATAGCATCCCACTGCCACATGTTG